TTACGCCCCTGCTCGACCAGCTCTGTGTCCCACTGTGTCAGCCACTCCTTAAAGATCCCTCTCATCATCCACACCATCTTGTTGGCCTTATAGGTGATGGTTAGAACAGTGAGATCGACCCCCTTCATACAGTGAGGGCACTGGCTCTTCCCGATGACCAGCGGTTTGCGCCGGTCGCTGCCGGTCATGTTAACACAGGGCATCAGTGCGATGCTCTCCATTGCCCTCTTCACACGGCTCAGCGCCGTCCGGTGGAAATACAATCAGCCGTCTGTCCCTGGACGTTAGTACAGCACTGTTTCCTCCGCGTTGTAGATGTCATCGGCGGCGTAGAATGAGAGCAGCACACTGCTGGTGTCAGCGCCCTCTGGGGCAGTGCTCTTTAGCTCTAAGTGTCCAGAGGGACTCGGGTGTCCTTGTACACCAGTCACAGAAAGTTAGTCTGCAGGTGCAGCAGCAATTAGGAAGGGAACGGTATGTTAGCGTTCATTATGAAAGGATTAGAGTATAAGAGTAGGGAAGTGTTGCTGCCACTGTATAGGGCTCTGGTGAGACCACACCTGGAATACTGGGCAGTTTTGGTCTTCTCATTTAAGGAAGGATGTACTTGCCTCGGAGGGGGCGCAGCGTAGATTTACTGGGTTAGTACCAGGGATGAAGGGGATGAGTTACGAGGATAGGCTGAACAATTTGGGCCTATATTCTCTAGAATATAGAAGAATTAGAGGGGATCTAATAGAAACCTATAAGATCATCAAAGGGCAGATAGAGTAGATAGTGGGAGATTGTGTCCCCCGGTTGGAGAAACTAAACCAGGGGTCACAACCTTAAAATCAGAGGCCAACCCTTTCGCACTGAGTTGAGGAAGAACTTCTTCACACAAAGGGCAGTGAATGTATGGAACTCACTTCCCCAAAGGGCTGTTGACGCTCAGTCCTTGAACATAGTCAAGACTGAGATCAATAGATTTCTTACTGCAAAAGGGGATTAAGGGATATGGGGATAAGGCAGTGTCAGGTTATTAGCTGGAGTTAGATTAGCAGATCAGCCATGATTGAATGGCGGGGCAGGCTCGAAGGGCCGAATGGCCACCTCCTGCTCCTACATGTTACGTTATGTTAGTCTCACTTATCCCCCATTTATTGACAATCAATGGGTCTGGATCGGGCTGTAAATGAACAGAATGAGAGCGGCTGGAAACGGTCAAGTGGAAACAACATCATTTGAACACATTGGGGAGGTGTGTGTGAATCCGAATGAATACAATTGCAAATCAGTCTTGTGTCCTTGTGAACTATCTTACAGAGGCTGAGCCTGATGTGTGATACTTGATGTCATCACACATTCCCTTTCGTATGCTACACAGTTATTGAATGTGTGGCTCACATGACAGAATCTGGTGTGATCTCAGCAGTGTCTACCTGTTGTGTGCTCGGACCAGTAACTCCCACATGTTTATTTACAGGGCGAAAGACACCAACAGCAGCTCCCATCCATTGCAGCTTCTGAAACCACCCACATCCACAGCGACACTTTCACTCCGGCACGTAGCCCAACAACCGAGCCCACATCCCACTCAGAGCCAGGTCAGTGCCCATGGGCTGCCTAGTAGGAGCAGTGTTTCCGATGGTGGTTATGGAACTCGCCTGTGACTTCAAATTCTCTGGTTCATTCCCAATCCTGGTCTTTCAGATCCACCTGTCCCTCTCCAGAGCATATACTATCCTCCTTCATCTTGCAGCTTCCTGCCTCCCAACACAGCAGCACCGACAGCCACTCCTGAGATAGACTTTACAGGGAACTCCAGTCTCGCAGGTAAGTTTATCATCTATCAGTCTGTCCTGCTGTTTATTACCAGCGAGTTAGCGGGTCAGACCCTAGTTCCCGGCATGGGGCGGTTACTCACAACACAACCTAGAAGACACCTCAGATCCCGGAGCTCATTTGCCAAATCAGTGTCCGTGGGCTGCTCGTTTGGGGCTGTTTCTGATGGTGACAGCTCACAAATTGAGGTCTCCTGTTGGACTTTGGGGATTTAGCTCAAACCTACAATCAGTTCTACAACTGACCTCACTACCTTGCAGGTCAATGGCAGTCGAGCAGGTGTACAGTCTTGTTTACATATCTGCAATGCAATTTAATAGACTTCATCTTGAGTGCTGTAGCTCAGTGATTAGAGAACTTGCATCACAAGCGAGAGGACCTGGGTTTTGATTCCTGCGCAGGGCCAAACTTTGGTCAAATTTCCTTACTCCAAAAGCCTCTATTTACCTAATATTCAGTAGGAATCCGGTTATTACTCGATTGGCGGATGACTTTTCTAGCAGGTAATGATCCCTTAAAAATAATAATAATAATAATTTGGGTCCTCAATCCAGTGGGACACTGCCGTGTGCAATTGGCTGCTGCGTTTCACTCACAAAATATAGTCAAGTACAGTATATTCTGTGAAGTGCATTGCGACATCTCGAATACATGATAAAGCACTATATCAAATGCACGGATTATTGCAACCAGAACCCTGTCTAGTTCTATCTTCCAACACCACCTCTCCTCTCAGCTCAATCTTTGCGGATGTGCCCTTGACTGGTTCGAATCCTACCTCTCGCACCGTCTCCAACGTGTCCCCATTAACGGCTTCTCCTTCAGCCGCCGCACAATCACGTGTGGCATCCCTCAGGGCTTTGTCTTTGGCCGCCAGCTCGTGTCCCAAACACTGATTGTCCAGCACCTTGGGTCATCCTCCCAACATCCTGCCAACGCGATACAAATGTAGTTTTGTGGTTGTTGTTGTCCCTGGTGTCATTGGTGTAAATCTCCGCTGCACCTTCTCCAAGGGCCCTGACATATTTCCTAAAGTGTGGTGCCCAGAATTGGACACAATACTCCAGCTGAGACCCTAACCAGCCATTTTTTATTGCTTTTGTACTCTCTGCCTCTATTTATAAAGCCAAGGTTCCTATCCGCTTTTAATGAGATATATTGTGTTCATTCATTTATTCTGGTCATCTGGAGTCTGTCTGTTTCCATGCTTCAGGGTATTGAAATCAGAGAAAGGGTTTCACAGATGTATGTAACTACTTAATTGCTCCTGTATCTGGAAATGAGGTAAACATGCAACCTGTTAACTTAATTTTAGGGAAGTATTGGTGAGAGCCAATTCCAAGTATTCCAATTCTCTCTCCTCATGTTCTCAGCGGCGTATTTGGATTTAAAAATGGCGTTTGATAATGTAACCGTCAAAATCATAGCTAATGGAACAGCTGAAAAGGAGAAAAGAGCAACGTACCAGTGGGAATTAAAGAATATCTGTATTATTTGTGGAGTGTGTAACACTTCAGGGTGTTAGAATGTCTTTATTTTAATCTAAAACATTAATGATCTGGATTGAGTGAATGATATCTAATTGTACAGAATATCTTGTGAAACAATAACAGGCATCTTCCAACTTGAAGAGCTCTTGATCCAATCGAGGGATTATTATTATTTCAATGAGATACCAGAACATTTTTAACATAGTCTGTGCGTGAGCGTAATGTTGAGAAGACAGAAGAAAGCAGCAGAGCTAAACACGGTTCTGTGAGTGGCCCAGCAAGCGAGTAATGGAATAAGTGCAGATGGATTTGAAGCGCTGCCTGAATTGGGTCTGGGTCAGGCCTTAGATGAAGGTGTTGGAGCAGGAGCTGAGGAACTGGATCATGTAAACCCACCTCCTCAGCGACGGTGGAAGGGCTGCCATAGTCAGACTCCAGGACTTTGCCCTCCATTGCCATCACAAACATGGAGCAGACCACATGCCCGAGATGGTAAAGAACAGGATTATGGATTTCTGCCGGTTCTCCACATCCCTCCCTTTCACAGACCCCCGAAGACCCTGGCGCATCCTGCTGGCCACCAGCACATACCTGATGGTCAGGGAGTCGAACAGGAGGATGAGGATGAAGGGAAGCAGTGGGTTTACAATGACGCTAAATAAGGCAAAGGCCCTAAACAACAACAACAAGATTACATTTGTATAGCGCCTTTCACGTCGGGAGAACATCCCAAGGTGCTGGACAGAGTACAGCATTTCAGACCCATTTCAGACTAAAGGCGGGAATGGTATATCAGCCCAGTGAATATGACCAGGAGGTTGGCAACAGCCATTGTGACCAGGGAGTGGGTGATAATAATAATAATAATAATAATAATAATCCTTGCATTTGATATAGTGCTTTTCACGTTGGGAGGACGTCCCAAAGCGCTTCACAGAACACACTGTAAAGTGAATTGACTGTATATTTTGGGCGAACGCGGCAGCCAATTGCGCACAGCAATGTCCCACAAACAGTCGTAGATTGAAAATGACCAATTTAATTATTGTTTTTAGTTTTGGAGGGATTATTATTAGGCTCTGTGTGGAGTAAGGAAACTTGCCCAAGGTTTCACCCTCTGCCTGGAATTGAACTCAGGTCTCTCACTTGCAAAGCGAGTGCTCTAACCACTGAGCTACAGGACTCCATATATTTGGAGAGTCCACACATTCCCTTATATATTATGATATAATATATATTATAGTTTGGCATCAAACTATAATAATCTTTGCGACTGATGTGGTGCTTCTCATGTTGTTCAGATGTCAACATTTTGCCCTACCCGGCAATCAAACTCAGGTCCTCTCGCTTGCGAGGCGAGGGCTCTAACCAATGAGTTAAAGGACTCCGCAATTTAAAATAGTTTAAAACAGAGGGGCGGTGGGGAAAAATGTTTTCACCCAACGAGTTGTTGGGATCTGGAATGCATTGCAAAGCCGATTTCACAACAACTTTTAAGAGAGAAGGAAGATAATTATTTGGGGAGGACGAGTTTGCAGGGCTAAGGGGAGAGAGTGGGGGAGAGGGGTTGACTTGGAAAAGCTCTTCACAAAGAGCCGACACAGACACAATGAGCCGAATGGCCTCGTGTATAATTGTATGATTCGAGGTGACAGCTACACACGAAGAGAGACAGATAGGCAGTTCACCTGGACTACGTATTTATTTGAATATAAAATACTCATTTTACTGTATTAATGGAACACAAACAACTTTATATAATCGCAATATAACAAAATTTGCATTTATACAGCGCCTTTCATTGCCATTGAGGCATCTCAAAGTGCTTCACAGGAATATATTGTAAAGTGTAGTGACTTGTGTTTTGCGGTCGAAACGCGGCAACCAATTTGCGCGCAGCAATATCCTCACAGACAGCCGGGAAGCGAGTGAGTGAGTGATTTTACCTGTCGGCCAGGACACCTGGAGAGAAACTCTCCTCTCCCCCCACCCCCTACCCCACATCCCCGCCGCACCCCACCCAGGGGGCAAACTTTAACATCTTTCTGAACAGAGCACAGACGGGAGCGATGTTCAAGGTCTCTGACAATGAGACCCTCTCTCACCCTCTGTCCTCTCAGCGCACTTCTTGGAGCATCAGGAATGTGAGCTCAGAGTCCCTGACTTGTGGGGGGCTCAAGCCCACAACCTCCCGACTCAGAGGTGAGAGAGCAAGTGACTGAGGTCTCTCCACCTTATCAAATTCTTTCACAATCTTAAACGCTCTCTCAGAGGGGAGGCGGAGAGGGGACGCGAGGAGGTGAGAGGGCAGGGCAGGGGAGGGGAGGGTGGGTGGTGGCTGATGTATGGGCACAGACATCATCGGGGTTTGAAAGTGGGGGAATTACATGGACCTCAGGCCTTAGACAGAAGCTCACTCACTCGCACCCTCGCTCGCTCCCTGAGCAGGAAGCTTGGGCTGTGAAGTGGTTAGAACAAGGTTCTGGAGATCTTCATCCCCTTGGACTTGATCTTGGGGAAGGAAGTGCCGCTCTCAGTCCCCTTCCCCCGCAACAGGAAATCAATGCTGGAGGAGGTCATGGCGTAGAAGACATTGGCATTGTGGGGAATGGTCAACTCTGTCGACAACAAGAATATTAGTGTCAACAACATTGACAACAACAAAATCAACATCAACCACACGAACATTAATAACTTCAACAACACGAACATTAATAACTTCAACTACAACATCAATAACAACGTTGAAATAACAACACCAACAACATCAGCACCAACAACATCATCATCATCACCACCAACAAGGTCATCAACATCAACATCTCCAACAGATGTCATTCACTTTCACGAGGGGAGGACATCCCAAGGCGTTGGACAGTCAGGGTTTGGAACTAGAGCAATTAGTAACAATATTAATTGTAATATTAATTATAATACCAACAATAACATTATTATTAATAACATTGAGGGGGGTTGAGGGTATGAGGATGTGTGTGTGTGGGAGGAGTCTTGGGGGTGAGGTGTGTGTGTGGGGGTGGTGGGTATTGAGGGGTGTGTAACGGTGAGAGTGTTCGAAGTGAGGATGTGGGTATAAGGGTGTGTGTGGTCGCGGGGGAAGTGTTGGTGGTGTGAGAGTTGGTGTATAAGGGTGTGTGTGTGTGCGAAGTGGGGAGTGTTTGGGGTATGAGGGAGTGTGAGGGTATGAGAGTGATTATTTGGGGTGTTGGGGGTTGTGAGGTGAGTGTATGAGAGTCTGATCATTACCATCAACATCAACAATATTATGAGATACGAAGGAGTCATCACATGACTGTGATGTGTGTTACCTTTCTGTCCGTCCATTAGCTGTACCAGGTTCCAGTTGGATGCCTCGCTCGGGTCCTGGTTATGCTTCTCCAGAGCTTTCCCCACCACTGCCCGTGTCTTATCCTGGCTCGACACCTCGAATCATAAAATCATAGAACATTACAGCACAGAAGGAGGCCATTCGGCCCACTGAGCCTGAGCCGGCTCTTCGGAAGAGCTACCCAATCAGTCCCACTCTTTCCCCACACCCTTGCAAACTTTCCTTATCAAGTACCGAACCAATTCCCTTTTGGAAGTTGTTATTGAAGCTGTTTCCACCCTTTCAGGCTGTTCATTCCAGACCGTAACAACCCTCTCCGTAAAAAAAAACATTTCTCCCCGTCTCCCCTCTGGTTCTTTTGCCAATTATCATGAATCTATTTGCCGTGGTAACCCCTCCCTCCACAGGCTGCGGATCATCCGGAACTCTGCAGCCCGTGTCCTCTCCCGCACCAAACTCCGTGACCCCATCTCCCCCACTCTCGCCCGACTCCACTGTCTTCACATCGCATAGAGGATACAGTTCAAGATCCTGGTCCTCACCTTCAAAGCCCTCCATGGCCTTGCTCCCCCCTACCTCTCCGACCTCCTAACCCGCTACCACCCTGTTCGCTCCCTCCGCTCAGCGGGCTCCAGCCTGCTTCACGTCCCCCGCCTCGCTCGTCCCATTATCGGCGGGCAAGCCTTCCGCAGTCCCTCTGCCTCGCCCCCTCCCTCGCCACCTTCAAGACCCTCCTCTTTGACCGTGCTTTCGATCTCCCTGCTTCCCCCCCTGCTCTCCACGCTCCCCCATCCCAACCCCCAGCTCAGGTCCGAAACTCTGTCCAGCGCCTTGGGATGTCCTCCCGATGTGAAAGGCGCCATATAAATGTAATTTTGTTGTTGTTGTTGACCCACCTGCCGGAGGAAACAGTTTTTGCCCGGTCTCTGTCTACTTTACCAAAACCCCTCATAATTTTGATCACCTTTATTAAATGTCACACAGAGAGTGTGGGAATCTTCCTCTGTGTCTTTCTCTTTCACTCTCTCTCTCTCACTCCTGTCTTTCTCACTCTCTCTGTCTCTCTCTCTGTCTGTATTTCTCACATTCTCTCTCTCAATTCTCTCTCTCTCTCTGGCTCTCTCTCACACACTCTCTCCCTCTCTCTCCCTCCCTCTGTCTGTGTGACACAGGTGTGTGCGCTCTCACCAGAATACTCTTGTACATGTTGCCGTTGTCGATATCCAGTCTGACACGTATGATGCGTGTGTCGCTCTGGGGGGGCCCGGGCTGGGGGCTGCAGGGGGTCTGAGCCCCGCACGAAGCAGAGCGGCGATGCCCCCTGGGGATAGACTCCGCGGGGGGAGGGATGGCAGGGTGTGCTGGGGGGGGAGGGTTTAACCCCACGGAGTCCAGCGTGGAGACGGAGGGCCATTTCTTGTGCTGGAAAATGGAGAGAGGGACACATAACCTTACCATCGGATAATAGCGTCTCATCGCTTCGTCAAGGTAGCGCTTAGCAGGACGTACCGTAAGTGAATTGACCGTATGTTTTGTGGGCGAAACGCGGCAGACAATTGCGCATAGCAGTGTCTGTCCCACAAACAGTCGTGGATTGAAGTGACCAAATTATTATTGTTATGTTTTGAAGGGATTATTACCCCCTGGAAAAGCGATGCACCGATCGACTAACGACCGGATTCCTGCTTTACTGTTTGGTGAACATGGGCGTGTGTGGAGTAAGGAAACTTGCCCTGAACAGAACTGCCCGGGAATCGAACCCAGGACCTCTCGTTTGCAAGGCCAGTGCTCTTACCACTATGTTACAGGACTCCACTGTGTGTGAGAGAGAGAGAGAGAGCGAGAGAGCCGTGACACCCTCAACTGTCCAGTACTCGCTGCCCAGGCCACCAGGACAGAGAGAGAGGCCAGACCAGGGGCAGAGAGGGACCAGGGGCAGAGAGGGACCAGGGGCAGAGAGGGACCAGGGCCAGAGAGGGACCAGGGGCAGAGAGGGACCAGGGCCAGAGAGGGACCAGGGCCAGAGAGGGACCAGGGCCAGAGATGGACCAGGGGCAGAGAGGGACCAGGGGCAGAGAGGGACCAGGGGCAGAGAGGGACCAGGGGCAGAGAGGGACCAGGGGCAGAGAGAGACCAGGGGCAGAGAGAGAAGCTGGGGCCTTCTCTCTATCGGTCTCTCCCTCTCTGTCTCCCTATCATGGTTCCCAGTTTCTGGTGCCCTCACGGGCTAGTTTATGATCCTTTGTGGAGGGAGGGTGGTTACGATGCCCTGGGGGTGGCGTTATGATGCCCCGGGGCGGGGAAATGATGCTCTGGGAGCAGGGTTATGGTGCCCTGGGGGTGGGGTTATGATGCCCTGGGGGGCGAGGTTATGGTGCCCTGGGGGTGGGGTTATGATGCCCTGGGGGCATGATATGGTGCCCTATGGGCGGGGTTATGATGTTTTGGGGGGCAGGGTATGGTGCCCTGGGGGCAGGGTATGGTGCCCTGGGGGCAGGGTATGGTGCCCTGTGGGTGGGGTTATGATGCCCTGGGGGGTGGCGGGGCATTGTTAGTGTTTGCTCACTGTAAAATCCTCGCAGACTGAGGGACAGGGCCTGACGTGTAGTGACTGTGCGTTAGACAGGGTACTGAGAAACACTGGCCATACAGCCAGAAGCACCTGCCACGGTCTCACAGCAAAGTGTAGACGGAGGGGGGGAAGGGGACAGGCAGGGAGGGGAGGGGAGGAATCAGTGACAGGAACCGCCATTGGTTGTTACCTTGGTGACCTTGGAGAGCAAGTTGGAGAAGGGGCTGAGGAGATGGTCCAGGGCGGGGTCCTGGGTGGGGCTCTGGGCGTCGCCGAACAAAGTGGGGTCTCCCCGGGCGGATGGGGCCCTGAAACAGAGAATATGGACGGTCATCAGACCCGCAATAAAGATGTCCAAATCCTCGCTGCGCCCCAAAACCCTACCCCTCCCCTCCCCCACCCCACCGGAAGGGCCGACCAGTCACTGGGGGCAGGGAGGAGTCATCCCACTCAGCTCCCGGGAACCCTGCAAGCCGAAGCCCTAATGGGTAGAGTGGTCCCAGCTGGACAAGCCAGACATGGCTCACTGTAAAGTGTAGTGACTCTGTTTTGCGGGCGAGCGCAGCAGCCCAATGTGCACGCAAAGTGTTATCCATCGGCCAGGACACCAGGAGAGAAACTTCCCTCATTCCCACCCACCTCTCTGACAACCCTGTGGAGATCTTTAATGTCCGCCTGAACAGGACACAAACGGGGGAGTGAGGTTCAATGTCTCAATTGAAGAACAGTCTCTGTGACAATGCGGCGCTCTCTCTCTCTCTCTCTCTCTCTCTCTCCCCCTCTCTCGCGCTCTCCCAGCATCGGCCTGGACTGTGAGCCAGAGACCCCGGTGATTGGGTCAAGCAGACTGGCGGTGGGGGCGCTGGGGGGGGGTGGGCTTGAACCCATAATCTTACCCCCACATGACTTACTCTTCCCACGCTGTGACGATTAGTGTTGGTTGAAACTTTGCGGGGTTACTGCTGATCTCAGTCAGGGGCTCGATCTCACATGACAGCTGATAACTGGAAAATAACAGAATTATATTAAGATCTCATCCTGTAGCGTATCAGTTAGAGCACTCGTCTCGCAAGCGAGAGGACCTGGGTTCAATTCCCATGTCGGGCGAAATCTTAGGGACGTTTCCTTACTTCCTTACACACCTCTGTTGACCCGGCAGTAAGTAGGAACCCGGTTGTTAGTCGATTGGCGGATCGCTATTCTGGGGTTACCAATCCCTTCAGAAAAGAAAAATAATAATAATGCGGTCACTCAATCCACGGCTCTTTGCGGGACGCTGCTGTGCGCGATTGGCTGCCGTGTTTCACCCACAAAATACTCAGTCGATTCCCTTTACAGTACATTCCACAAAGCGCTTTTGCGACGTCCTGAAGATGTGATAGGACGCTATTTCAAACGCAAGGATTATTATTATTGGGAGGCGAGAGAGTGTGTCAGCGAGCGGCCGAGACAGGGAGTGAGTGAGGGGGCGAGCGAGGGCGGAGGGAAGCAGTAGATGGGAACCCGGTTGTTAGTCGATTGGAGGATCTGGTAATAATCCCTTCAGTCCATGGCTGTTTGTGGGACACTGTCGCATTTCGCCCACAAAATATACAGTCACGTAGCTTACCGTATATTCTGGGAAACACTTTGAGATGCTTTGAAGGGCATTCCCCCTCCCTCCCACCCCCCCCCCCCCAAGCTGCCTCCATCCTCACCTAAAATGCCAAGCGCTTTGCAGAATACACCGTAGAGCGAATTAACTGTGTATTTTGTGTGCGGAATCAGCAGCCAATTGCGCGCAGCAGCGTCCGCACAAACAGTCGTGGATTAATAATAATGATGATAATAAAAATAATAAAAATTGCAATGTCTGACACGGCAGCTTTTACTTCAAGAGGTCACTCAGTCTCTCACCCCCCGAGGCAGGAGGTTTGGGTTCGATCCCCCTACATGTTGGGGACACTGAGCTCCCTTTGTCCAGGTTGGTGCTCCAGCGAAGGAGAGAGAGAGAGAGAGAGAGCGCCACATTGTCAGAGACTCCGTCCTTCGACAGAGACCTTAAACCCCACTCCCCGTCTATGCCCTGTTCAGGCGGACATTAAAGGGTGGTGGTGGGGGTGAGTGTAGGGGGGAGAGAAGGGAGTTTCTCTCCTGGGGTCCTGGCCGACAGATAAAATCGCTCGTTCGCTTCAAGACTAATTTCCTGGACACTCGCGCATGAGACCCAGGGGAATAAACACACGGAATTGTGAAGGTGTCAGTCGCTTTACAAAATATTATAATGATATAATAATCCTTTGCATTTGGTACAACAAATGGCATTTACGCATCTTTCACGGTGGGGGGGAGGACGTCCCGAGGCACTGGAGTGTCAGGGTTTTGGACCTGAGTTGGGGTTGGGATCGGTGGGGGGGTGGGTGGGTGGAGGGGAGGGATAAGATGGTGGCTGAAGGCTGCAAGAGGAGGGTGTTGACGGAGGTCTGGGGTGGGAGACAGGTGAAGCGTATGTGGGATATGGCGCATAATCAGGTCCTGAGACTTTGCAAACCCCTCTGAGATGCTGCACTGCATGAGGCACGACATAAATACCGTAAGGTGAATTGCCCGTATATTTTCTGGGCGCAAAGTGGCAGCCAATTGCGTCCGGCGGTGTCCCACAAACAGCCGTGGATTGATTGACCAAATTTTATTTTTAAGGGCTTCTTACCCCTGGAAATGTGAACCGCCTTTCACCGAACAACCAGGCTCCGACTTACTGCTTGGTGAACAGAGGCATGTAGAGCAAGGAAACTTGCCCAAGGTTCCTCCCTGCCCGAGTATCAAACCCTGGTCCTCTCGCTTGCCAGGCGAGTGCTCTAACCACTACGCTACAGGCCTCCACGATGAGACAGACATCGAATATTGCAGCTCAGAAGGAGGCCATTCGGGTCACCGTGCTTGTGCCAGCTCTTTGGAAGAGGTACCCAATCAGCCCCACTTCCCCGCTCTTTCCCCATGTCCTTGCAAATGTTTCCTTTTCAAGTACCTGTCCAATTTCCTTTCTAAAGTTGTTGTCAAATCTCTTTCCATCACCCTTTCAGGCAATGCATTCCAGACCGTAACTCCCAGTGCAAAACAAAAATCTCCTCGTCTCCCCATCTGGTTCTTTTGACAATTATCTTATATCTGTGTGCCCTGGTTACTGACCCACCCACCAGAGGAAACAGTTTCTCCCTATCTCTCCATCAAAACCCCTCAGAATTGTGAACATCTCTATTAAATCTCCCCTCAACCTTCTCTGCTCTAAGGAGGCTCTCTCGTCTCTCCATGTAACGGAAGCCCCTCATCCCTGGTCCCATTCTGGTAAATCGTCTCTGCACCTTCTCCAAGGCCTTGACATCCTTCCTAAAGTGTGGTGCCCAGAATTGGGACACAATACTCTCGCTGAGGCCTAACCAGTGACTTATAGAGGTCCAGCATAACTTCCTTGCTTTTGTACTCTATGCTTATGGCGATTTTCTCGTATAACTTTTGGGAGAGAAGGAGAGACACTTACCTCTCTGTCTCACTCAGAGATTGGAGCCAGTAAAACCAGGCCAGGAACTCAGGGTCTTTCTCGATTGCGTAATTTTTACACGCGGACTGCAACAGCTTAATCTGGGCAATGATCTCAAACTCCTAAGGTCACCGACACAACAGAACAGGACAGTAAGAATGGGGGGTACGGAGTTTAATGTGTGATAGGCAGCAAGTGGAGCCTGGAGAGGACTGTGGTGATGGGGATACAGAGTTTAGTGTGTGATGGGGAGGCAGTGGAGCCTGACGAGAAATATGGTGATGGAGGTAGGAGTTTAGTGTGTGATAGAGAGCCAGTGGAGTCTGGCAAGGACTGGGCTGATGGGGGTATGGAGTTTAATGTGTGTGAAAGTGTGGCCACCAATGGTGGAATGGAGGGGTATGAGAGACAGGTTGAGCAGAGCTTGCGGGTAGTGAGTCGGGGAGTAAGCAGGTCGGAGAGGTAGGGAGGTGCGAGGGCATGAAGGCATAGGAAGAGGGGAGAGGTACCACACAGCGCTCAGCCCCAACACACCCCCGCCACCCCACCCCACCCCACCCCAGCACGAGGTGAGAGAGGACAGAGTCAGAATTCAGAGGCAATAGTTACCTTTCTGTGTTTGTCAAAATTAATTAATCCATCCTTGGAAGAAAGAGAAAAAAGATAAGAGAGATAACATTAACTGGGGTGATGGGGGAATGGAGATAAGTGTGTGCGATGGGGAGCCGGTGGAGCCTGGCGAGAACTTTGTGATGGGGGTAGGAGTTTAGTGTGTGATAGGGAGCCAGTTCATCATAAGAACATAAGAAGTGCGAGGCCAAAAAAGGTCCAACTGTTTCCCCTTCCACCTTCCTGGTTGTCGCCTGCACATATGTCCCAAACTATATCCCATAATATTATTTCCTGGAAGAAAACTATCCATAAGAACACAAGAAAACGGATCCGTGGAATAGCTGCACCGCCAGGTCGAGTGTGTAACTAACATTACAGCGATGGGCAAAGGCGGAGAGGGAGAGACTGATAGAGAGGGAGAGCCGGAGGGAGAGGGGTGAAATGGAGGGGTAGAGACTGATAGAGAGGGGGAGGGACTGACGAATAATAATAATTTGTCAGTCTCTCCCCCTCTCTATCAGTCTCTACCCCTCCATAGAGGAAGGAGAGATGGAGGGAGAGACTGATAGAGAGGGATAGAGACTGATAGAGAGAGGGCAAAATGGAGGGAGAGACGGATAGAGAGAGAATGAGACAGAGAAGGAGAGGCGGAGGGATAGAGATTGATGGAGAGGAGGAGTGACTGATGGCGAGAGGGCATGACTGAAAGAGAGGAGGAGAGACTGATAGAGAGAGAGGGCGAAATGGAAGGCGAGGCTATTAAAGAGAGAGGTCGAGATGGAGGGAGAGAGGGGGAGAGGGAGAGACTGATAGAGAGAGAGTGAGACGGAGGGGGAGAGATTGATAGAGAGAGAGAGGGGGCGAGACGGAGAGGGAGAGTCTGACCGAGAGATGGAGAGACTGAGAGAGAGAGGGAGAGACGGAGGTGGGAGAGTGATAGAGAGGAGTTACCTCAGTGTAGTCTTTCACCGCTGTGTCCAACATTACCAGGTCAGTGAGGAAAGTGCCGAGATAAGGAACCGTGCCCTGTAACACAGAGTGTCAGTCACGTTAGAATATGATCTATGCCGTGAAATTTATAATCCAATCTCAAACGTTAAGTTGTTAATCTCTTGCTCACGTGAACCAAAATGGCAAATAACACCGTTTTGTACCCGAAACATCGGTTAATAACATGAAGGTGTTTCCCTCAGTTAAGAGGCAGCGGTCAGCATGAAAAGATTGAAACAACAACAACAGCAAAATGACATTTATAGAGCGCCTTTCGCGTCGGGAGGACGTCCCAAGGCGCTGGACAGTCAGGGGTCGGGGACCGAGCGTGGGGCAGGGGTGGGGTAGGGGGGAGGGAAGGCACGGAGGTGGGAGGGAGACCAAAGGCGCGGTCGAAGAGAAGGATCTTGAGACCGGCCTTGAAGGAGGCAAAGGGAGGAAGCGAGGCCAAGGGACCGTGGGATGCAGTTCCAGAGTGTGGGGGCGGAGAGGCTGAAAGCCCGGCCACCGATGGTTTGGGCGGGTCGGGCGGGAGACATGGAGCAGCCCGGGGCCCGCCGAACAGAGGGAGCGGGCAGGTTGGTAGGGAGTCAGGCAATCGCTGGCCTCGGGGAGGAAGGAGGATACGCTGTCACCCACTGATAACTAACAAGTAACAGTCAAACACGCTATCGGGTGGTCGAAATTGCCCAGTTCCTGAGTAAAGCAGGAATCACAATACGCTTGAGCCTTTGCCCCGGGGCAAAAGGTCTACGTGGTCTGTGTGCACGATAGTGGATTGAATAATTGAAGTGACTGGTCGGCACTTCCAGGTCCTGCCGATGAGCCGGGCCGGGCCGGGCCGGGCTGTCAGCAGCAGTGAGTGCCCTGGGATCCTGTGGCCCGGCCTGGCCCAGGAACCAGACTAGAAACTGTCACAGAGGTCTGGCTCCATTCGGACATCCGTTGCCAAACATGTCACCTTGGAGCCAGTTCAGCTCCAAGGAGAAAGTGACTGAGCCGGGCTGATACACACTGAGCCGGGCTGATACACACTGAGCCGGGCTGATACACACTGAGCCGGGCTGATACACACTGAGCCGGGCTGATACACACTGAGCCGGGCTGATACACACTGAGCCGGGCTGATACACACTGAGCCGGGCTGATACACACTGAGCCGGGCTGATACACACTGAGCCGGGCTGATACACACTGAGCCGGGCTCACACACACACACACACACACACACACTGAGTTGGGCTAAAACTCACCGATGATTTCTGATCCCGAACCCTTTTGTGATATTTTTTCTTTTCCACTGTGGCAAATTTAGACGTTCCTTCCTGCGAATTTACAAGAATTATAACAGGCGCAATGGTGAGAATGTGACAGAGAGAGAGAGAGAGAGAGAGACAGACAGACAGACGCGACGTGTGAGTAAGAGAATGTGAATGTGAGAGAGAGGGAGAGAGAGAATGTGAGGGAGGGAGAAAGTGTGAGAATGAGGGAGAGGGAGAGACAGAGAGAGGAACGATGAGAGTGTGAGTGTCTGTGAGAAAGAATCTGTGTGAGCGAGAATGAGTTTGAGTGAGAAAGACACGATCTGAAAGAGAGAGAGAGAGAGACAGAGTGAAAGAGACAGAGAGAGTGAGTGTCAGAGAGAGAGACAAGAAAGACGAGAGAGAGGTGTGTAAGCGACCGCGAATGTGTGTGAGAGCCTGAGGCAGCGTGAGAGACAACGAGAGAATCTGTGAGAGAGAGAGAGAGAGAGTGAAAGTGAGAGACACTATCTTAGAGAAATAGTAAGCGAGAGAGAGAAGGAGAGAGAGTAGGAGGGAGACAGAGTGAAAGAGCTTTTGAGACGTCTCGAAGACATATTAAGGCACCATATCAAGTGCAATGATTATTATATACTCTCTCTCTCTCTCTCACTCTCTCTCTCACTCTCTGATACTCATATACTCAGTCTCTCTCACATATTCTTTCTCTCGCTCTCTCTCCCTCTCACTCTCTATCTCGCTCACATACTCTCACTCTTTCTCGCGCACACACGCACTCACTCAATCCCTCCCACGCTCCCTCTGTTACTCTCGCTGAGACTCATACGCTCCCACTCTCGCTCCCACACACCCTCAAACACTCTCACTCTCGCACTCTCAAAACACTCTCACTCTCACGCACTCGCTCGCTGACAGTCTCTCTCATTCCCTCTCACACTCACCCTCTCTCTTATACTCTCACTCTCACACTCTCTCTCACGACTCTCTGTCACACGCTTTCCGCCACACACACTCCAACACACACAGTCTCTCTCATATTCTCGCGGCACTCATACCACTCTCTCTCACTCACGTACTCTCTCTTCCATACACACTCTCTCTTATACACACCCTCTCTCCTTCTATCAATACTGTCTCACACATCTGTCTCTCTCACTCTAACTATCTCACTCCCTCTATCTCTCACACACACTCTCACTCTATTTCATACACATTCTCACACTCACTCTCAAACATTCTCACTCTCTCACACTCTCACTACTCTCTCTGTGACACACACTCTCTCACTCTATACCACACACTCTCTCACCACTCTCTCTAACTCTCACACACTCTCTCACACTCTTTCCTACACTCTCTTTCTATCATTCTCTCACTCTCTATCTCCCTCACCCACTCTCACTCATTCTCTCTCACACAAACAGTCGCTCTCACTCTCTTTATCACACTCCCCCTCTCTCGCTCTATAATCACACACTCTCTCTCTCGCTCTCACCTTCAGTAACAGTTCTCGACTCTGGGAATAATTATTTTTCTCGGAGAAGATTTCCAACAGTTCCTCAAAAGTGTGAAGGTTCTCCCTGTGACAGAGACAGAGCGACATTATATCCCCAGACAGACAGACAGACAGAAAGGAAAGAAGAAAAAGAAAGGAAGGAAGGAAGGAAGGAAGGAAGGAAGGAAGGAAGGAAGGAAGGAAGGAAGGAAAGCAAGCAAGAAGAGAGAGGTTTAAGTTCCTTGAAGCCCTTCCAACACCACCCAACCCCTCCCGCACACAGCCCTCCACCTCTACTGTGTGGAGCCCCTCCACCTGAACCCCCTTCCCCCCGCACCCCCCACCCAGAGCCCGTGGGCTTCACCTGGACACCTCCTCCCAGGTTCTCCTCAGCCGATGGATGGGATTGGTCTGCAGAGCGGAGACGATGGCGTAGGCGGAGGAGAAGTTCTTCAGAGATCGGCATTCCTGAGAGGCAGAGAGACTCACATCAGTCACCCTGCGCTCGCACTCCCTCTCTCCCCCTCTCCCTCTCTCTCTCTCTCTGTGCCTGTGCTGGGGCTCGCTCCCCCTCTGGAGCTCTCTACTCCAACCCCCTCCGTTTGCTCTCCTCTCCGCACCACATCCCCAAATTATCACCAACAACGATAACGATAATCCTGGCCTCGGCGCAGCTTCGAAATGGCCCGAAATGAAAGCGCTTCGCAGAAAGTGTGGAGAGACCGTGTCATTCTCGCGGGGCGAGGGCGGCAGCCGACGGCAGCCAAAGGATCGTGGTTTATCGGGCGACCAAATTATTATTATTATTATTCTTTATTTTATCTTTTGAAGGGAAAGCGATTTCCCCCTCCAATCGGCCCGGGAATCGAACCCGGGTCTTCTCGCTTGCGAGGCGAGGGCTCTAACCACTGAGCTACAGGACTCCACGTCCCTCAGTCCCTTCGCCTCACTCCCTCCCACCCTTTGACGGACCAAACCCCTGACCTTCCCAGCCCCTTGGGACACATTCCCAACGTGAGGAGCGCTGTGCGAATGCAGTAACAACATCCCTTGCGTTCGCCACAACGCCCCTCCTCGCGTCTTCGAGACGTCTCAAAGCGCTCCGCGGGACACGCCGCAAAGCGTAGTGACTGTGCGCGGACTGAAGCGACCGATTCTTTTTTGGGGGCAAAGAAATCTTTGCGCCCGGAAAAGCAACCGCACCTCGGCCACTCGGATCCACTTGTCCAGGATCCTGGCTCTCTGCTGGGGCTTGAGGTTCATGTTCCTGAGGCAGCAGCTGGTCACGCACTCCACCAGTCGGTTAAACTGCCTGACGGTGGCTCTGACGGTGGGAGCCGCGCTCTCCATCCCCTTCTTGTCCCTCCGCGACCAGACCGAGCCCAGGCAGTGATAGGGCACCACCGTCATGAACAGCTCCTGGCGCCCACACGCACACACAGGAACACAACACGTGAGGGTGCTGGTAACACGTCAGATACGACAGCGACAACTTGGGGACCTCAGGCCGGGCGTGGGGGTAGGGGGGCGGTGTGTGGTGGGGGGGGAGAGGGGTCCCGGAGCGCTTGTCAGTGAGTGGGGGCGGGGGGGGGGGGCGGGGGAGCCTGATTCCGAGCCTGGGGAGGGGGTGGGGACAGTCAAACAGGAACGGTTTCAGGCTCGACCGGAAGACGGGGGCAAAGCGGAGGGATAGAGGAAGAGTGTTCCGGAGTTTCGGGGCGTAACGGCTGAAAGCGGGGTCGCAGGGGAGGATGGAGGGCACGGGGCGGGGGGGGGGACGGGGGACGGAGACGCCCGGGCCGGTCGGTGATGGGCGTGGGCTCGGGGTATGGGGGTACGGAGTGTAACGTGTGTGTTGGAGAGCCAGTGGGGCCGGGCGAGGACTGGGGTGATGGAGGCGTGTAGTTCAGTGTGTGTGACTATGTTGTGGGGTAGTTTGGGATCCTGTTCACGGTGGCGTTGGGGGTAAAGATACGTCCGACGTGCGATTATGACGGTTGTGGGTCACACGTGTAATCATCTTACAACACGTTTGATGTTTAATGTTGACTGTAAGAGTTTAATAACAATAATAATCCTTGTATTTGATGTAGTGCCTTTGAGACGTCTGAAAGCGCTTCACGGAGTATACTGTAAGTCGTAGTGACTGTGTATGTTTTGCGGGTGAAACGCAGCAGCCAATCGCGCACATCGACATCCCACAAACAGTCGTGGCTTTGATATGTCGGACATGTCCTCCAGTGTAAAAGTCACGGGTGTAGCAGTTGACGGGACCAGTTGTGTAATTGTAAGTGTGATCAGTGCACACAGTGAAGGTGTCAGGCACGTAAGAGTGAGTGCGATCAGGTGCGTAAGAATCAGTGTAATTGGTTGTGTAAGGGTGAGCGTGTCAGGTGTGTAAGTCAGTGTGTCAGGTGTGTGAGAGTCAAGTGTGTAAGAGTGTGTGTCAGGTGTGTAAGAGTCAGTGTGTCAGGCGTGTATGAGTGTGTGTCAGGTGTGTAAGAGTCAGTGTGTCAGGCGTGTATGAGTGTGTGTCAGGTGTGTAAGAGTGTGTGTCAGCTGTAAGTCAGTGTGTCAGGTGTGTAAGAGTGAATGTGTCAGGTGTGTAAGAGTGTGTGTGTCAGGCGTGTAAGAGTGTGTGTGCGTGTCAGGCGTGTAAGTGTGTGCGTGTCAGGCGTGTCTCAGGGACTCACGGAGTCGATCATGGTGAGCTGCCCAGCGACCGTCTCCGCGGTGAAGGTGAGGAACCGCTCGGTGTCCAGGTGTCTGTGCTCCCCCCCCTCGGCCCCGGCCTCGCCCCGGCCTCGCTCACCGGCACCGCCGCCGCCGCCGCCGCCGCCATCTTCAACACAGACACAAACAGCACCGTCACCGGCCGGTGTATCATACAACAACAACAACAACAACAACTTGGATTTATATAGCGCCCTCCACGCCGGGCAGCGTCTCAGAGCACTTTACAGTTTAGGATCCCGAGGCCGAGCCGGGGGAAGGGGGGGGGGAGCCACGGGGGAGGGGGAGGGGGGAGCCAGGGGAAGGGGGAGGGGGGGAGCCAGGGGGAGGGAGGGGGAGGGGGGGAGCCAGGGGGAGGGGGGGAGCCAGGGGGGGGGGGAGCCACGGGGAGGGGGGGGAGCAGGGGGAGGGGGGGAGCCACGGGGAGGGGAGGGGGGGAGCCAGGGGGAGGGAGGGGGGGGGAGCCAGGGGAAGGGGAGGGGGGGGCGCCACGGGGAGGGGGGGAGCCAGGGGGAGGGGAGGGGGAGCCAGGGGAGGGAGGGGGGGGGAGCCAGGGGGGAGGGAGGGGGGGGGAGCCAGGGGGAGGGGGAAGGGGGGGAGCCAGGGGAGGGAAGGGGCATACGGGGAGGGGGCGGGGCCGAGCCGGGGAGGGGGGGGGGCAGCGGCTGAAGGCGCGGCCGCCGAGGGGGGAGCGGAGGACTCGGGGGACGAGGAGGAGGCCAGACCCGGAGCAACGAAGGCAACGGGTACTGTAGTGAGGAGAGAGGAGGTCGGGGGGTGCAGAGGAGCGGAGGGATTTGAAGACATGGGAGAGGATAAGGATTCAGATCCTCATCACGTCATTGAGATGTCTCAAAGCACTTCACAGGATATAACTGCAATATATCGTAAAGTCAGAGTCCGATATCCGGGGGAGAGGGAGGGGGGTCGAATATGCTTCGGCTCCACACGAGGTTCTGACCCCACTCCACCTTCCCACACAGCGTCAAATGCTGTGTACTCAGCGTCGTGAAGGTAGAGTAGTTACCTGTAGGTGGCAATCTCCCACCCACACGCCTCTGAGCACTCGGCAGTAAGTAGTGAACCCACTTGTTTGGTCGATTGGGCAAATCATGTTCTGGGGGTAATAATTCCTTCAAAATAAATAATCTTTTGGTCACTCAACCGATTGGCTGCCGCCTTTCGCCCACAAAATACACGGTCACTCCACCTGACAGTACATTCTGCGAAGCGCGTCGGGACGTCTCGAAGATGTGAGAAAGCGCCACATCAAATATAAGGATTCTTATGAGTATTATCACTATTAAAAGCCCCCAACCTCTGGAACTCCATCCCCCAGTCACTCCGCCTCACCCCCTCCTTAGCCTCCTTCAAGTCCCCCCTCAAAATCCTCCTCTTCCGCCATGCCATCAGCCGCCCCCCCTTCCCCTCTCCTCCCTTCTCCGCCCCCATGACCCCAACTCGGGTCTGAAATGCTGTCACTGGAGTGAGTGAGTGAGTGAGACGAGTGTGAAAGGGTGAGCGTGAGAGTTAGTGACTGAGTGAGTGAGTGAGTGAGTGAATGTCGGAGTGAGTAAGTGAGTGAGTCAGTGAGAGTGAGTGAGTCAGTGAGAGTGAGGGAGGGAGGCAGCAAAGCGTGGATCGAGGCAGCAAGGGAGCGAGTGAGTGTGTGAATGAGTGAGCGAGTGAGGGAACAAGTGAGAGAGAGTGAGTGAGCAAGCGAGGGATGGAGGGAGTGAGAGAGTAAGTGAGTGAATGGGTGGGTGAGTGAGTGAGCAATGAAGGGAGCGAGTGAGTAAGAGTGCGAGCGAGGGAAGGAGGGAGGGAGTGAAGTGTGAGAGAGTGAGTGAGTAATGGGGTAAGTAAGCGAGTGAGAGAGAGAAGAGAGCGTGAGTGAGCAAATGAGCTAGTGCGGGAGGGTGGGAGGGAGTGAGAGGCTGCGTGAGTGAGTGAGCGAGCGAGTGAGCGAGTGAGTGAGTGAGTGAGTGAGTGAGTGATTGAATGAGGTAAGAGTGCGAGTGAGTGCAAATCAGTGAGTGAGCGAGGGAGAGATGGATGGAGGGAGGGAGGGAGGGAGGGAGGAAGGGAGGGAGGGAGGGAGGGACTGACTAACTGACTGACTGACTGAGTGAGACAAGTGTGAAAGGGTGAGCGTGAGAGTGAGTGAGTGAGTGAGCGAGCGAGCGAGCGAGTCAGAGAGAGAGAATGAGTTAAGAGTGAATGAGTTAAGAGTACGAGTGAGTGCAAATGAGTGAGTGAGTGAGGGAGCGATGGAGGGAGGGAGAGATGGAGGGAGTGAGTGAGTGAGTGAGTGAGGGAGAGACGGAGGGAGTGAGTGAGTGAGTGAGTGAGTGAGTGAGTGAGTGAGTGAGTGAGTGAGTGAGTGAGTGAGTGAGCGAGGGAGGGAGGGAGGGAGGGAGGGAGTGAGCGAGGGAGGGAGGGAGGGAGGGAGGGAGGGAGTACCTGGAGTGCTGTTGGTTGACAGGACGCTGTATAGCCGACGTTCTAAATTCTGTCCCCCAAATTCCCGCTGTACGTACGCTGTCAGTCGCTGGGAACAGGCGCTCTCCAGACCCCAGAAATCCTCGGGGTAGCACTCCAACCATGTGGACAGGAGGCTCCTGACGGCTCTGGGGGGGAGAGAGAGGGAGAGAGACATCGGGAGGTCAGGACAGCCCATAATAATCAACGTGGAGTCCCGAAGAATGGTATCAGTGCGCTCGCCTCGCAAGCAAGGACCTGGGTTCGGTTCCCGGGCCAGACGATACCCTTAGGCACGTGTCCACACAAAACACGCGTGTGTTTACCCAGCGGCAGAGGGAGCCCCGGGTGTTAGTCGATCGATGGATCGCTTTTCCGGGGGTTTATAATCCCTCCGAAAAATAGAGTAAAATGCTAATGATTTAGCCGCTCAGTCCACGGCTGTTTGCGGGGCGCCGCCGGGCGCAACTCGCTGCTGGGTTTCACCATAGGCGCCGTCGAAGAGGGGGTGATCCTAAAGGTGGGGAAGGAAGGGGCGAGGCGGAGGGATTGAGGAAGAGTGTCTCCAGGATTTCCGGGCGTTATGGCTGGAAAGAGCAGCTCGTTGATGGGGGAACGGAGGCCGCGAGGGACGTGCTGAAGGTCGGAGCCGGTCGAGCTCAGGCAGCCCGCTGTGGGTTTGGGGGTAAGCCGGTCGGAGAGCAGGGAGGCGGCTCGGCATCAAGAGCTTCGAGGACAAGTCCGAGGATCTTGAAGTGGATCCATTTGGTGATCGGGAGCCAGTGGGGGGCTGGCGAGGGCTGGGGGGTGATGGGGGCGCGGAGTTCAGTGGGTGTGTAGGGAGCCAGTGGGGGGCTGGCGAGGGTTGGGGGGTGATGGGGGCATGGAGTTTAGTGGGTGTGTAGGGAACCAGTGGGGGGCTGGCGAGGGCTGGGGGGTGATGGGGGCGCGGAGTTGCGGGCTCCACGTGGAGCAGTCGAGTCGGGATGTGCCGAAGGCACGGAACGAGGTTTGCGTGGACTGATGGGGGGTCCGGACTGTGGAGGGATTTAAAGGCGAGGACGGGGATCTTGAAACTCAAGGTCTGGAGGACGGAGAGTCGGCGGTGCCGGGTGAGGGTGCCGGGCGCCGGGTGCCGGGTGCCGGGTGCTGGGTGCTGGGTGCCGGGTGCTGGGTGCTGGGTGCCGGGTGAGGGTGCTGGGTGCTGGGTGCCGGGTGCTGGGTGCTGGGTGCCGGGTGCCGGGTGCTGGGTGCTGGGTACCGGGTGCCAGGTGCTGGGTGCCGGGTGAGGGTGCTGGGTGCTGGGTACCGGGTGCCGGGTGCCGGGTGCTGGGTGCTGGGTACCGGGTGCCGGGTGCTGGGTGCCGGGTGAGGGTGCTGGGTGCTGGGTGCCGGGTGCTGGGTGAGGGTGGGGGCGCCGGGTGCTGGGTGCCGGGTGCTGGGTGATGGCTGCCGGGTGCCGGGTGCTGGGTGCCGGGTGCCGGGTGCCGGGTGCCGGGTGCCGGGTGCTGGGTGCCGGGTGCCGGGTGCCGGGTGCCGGGTGCCGGGTGCCGGGTGAGGGTGCTGGGTGCTGGGTGCCGGGTGCCAGGAGCCTGAAGCCAGAGAGAGAGAGAGAGAGAGGAGAGGTGTAGGGACTGACTCTCGTGTCTTGCCCTGTTCGGTCTGGTCACCTCCCTCCGAGCCTCCGTCCAACTGCTCCAACCTGTGGGCACACAAACCGCAACACGGCGGCTCCCGCAGTCAATATCAAACGGTAATATTAATAAGTAATAATTATGGTGACGGGGGTGGGGTTCACTGCCCGAGGCGGAGGCACAGTGTGTGTGTGGGCGGGGTTACAGGAGTGGGGCGGGGTTACAGGAGTGGGGCGGGGTTACAGGAGTGGGGCGGGTTACAGGAGTGGGGCGGGGTTACAGGAGTGGGGCGGGGTTACAGGAGTGGGGCGGGGTTACAGGAGTGGGGCGGAGTTACAGGAGTGGGGCGGGGTTACAGGAGTGGGGCGGGGCTATGGCGGCAAGAGCAGTTACGTAAGGAGTATCAGATGCAATTTATCTGTCCCCTGAGATTTATTTGCCTTAACTTTGCGCAGCTGTTTGCCAGCCGTGCTGGAAGGAATACGAATAGTCACAACTTTCCTCTGCGAGATCCTTGAGCTCTCTTTCCAGATGAGATAGATTACCTCTCTCCTCTTGGTAAATACTGACGCCAAAAAAATTATTTAGAACTAATAATAGTAACAATAATCCTTGCATTTGATATAGCGCTTTTCACGTCGGGAGGACGTCCCAAAGCGCTTCACAGAACACACTGTAAAGTGAATTGACTGTATATTTGTGGGCGAACGCGGCGGCCAATGGCGCACAGCGATGTCCCCCAAACAGTCGTAGATTCAAAAGACCAATTTATTATTGTTTGGGTTTTTTTGGAGGGATTATTATTAGGCTCTGTGTGGAGTAAGGAAACTTGCCCAAGGTTTGGCCCTCTGCCTGGAATTGAACTCAGGTCTCTCTCTTGCAAAGCGAGTGCTCTAACCACTGAGCTACCGGACTCCACATTGCAGCCTGTCCAGCGTTATTTGCCATGTCCTCTCCCCTAACCCACCTCCATTGGCCCCATCCCGTTC